GAAAATTTTATCCTGAACAGCTAAAGACAAACTTAAATGCAACTGAAAATGAGGGTTTTATGTGGGCCAATGTTGAGCATGCCAGGATCAAAGAGTTACAGGTCATTACAGACTCTGCCTGTAAGGCCACGTTACACATAACAGCAAGCATTTTCCACTACAGCTCATTAGACTTTTATCAGGATGATCGCAGAATACCAGAACCATAACTACCCACCCCCCTCCAAAAAATACTACTTTTCCATATCGACAATTAGAAGGAACTATTCCATTTAATAAAACACAAGTCCATTTTGTTTTGAACCATTGAAACGAAGTATTAACCTGCATCCCCAGGCTAGTGCATTGTCCTTTGAGAGGGTAATGCCCTCTTTTTTTAGGCTGCGGTCCAAGGCCACAGGAAGGCAGTATGTTATACTAAGTAATGTCCCTTATCAAACTGTGTGATGTGCTATGGAATCATTTAACTTAGAATAGATGTGGAAGGATGAGAAAACAAAGCTCATGAGATACAGAGAGTCTGAGTTTCCCAAATTACAATTCCCTTCATCAATGCAAATTAATCCTGAACTAATGTAAAATGAAGTGCACTAATAAACCAGAATGACGTTGTTTGGAGTCAGGTATATCACTGCATTTTAGTCTGAAAAGGTCAACAGAAAAACATCTGTTCCAAGAAAAACTTTACTTTTGTATGTTAAATGGAATAAAATCAAAGTTTTAAAAGTTAGCGCTGCCCTCAGGATGGAAATTCCAGATTTCTTTCAGGTTAACATCTACCACTTCTCATCCAGCTGCAAGCCATGCGGAGTTCATGAAGTAATTGTATTAATATATTAGTGCTGTATTTAGAATAAGGATATCTGCCTTTTAAAGCAAGCATTCTGCCAAAGAGGTAAATATTTAAATAGCAACAATAATATTTTAATTTAAGAGAACTTATTCTTTTCTCAAAGTCATGGCCCTTGAGGGAGAAAAAAAACAATTGAGTTACAGTTGAGCTAGACAGTAGTACCTTACAAAAAGATAGCAGAGAATATAAATTTCAGAATATAAAAATTATATATTAATGGTTGAAAATGATTATATTTGCTACAGATAATGTATGCTAGACAAATTTTGTTTATAGGGAGACAAAAGGAGAGATGATAAAAATTAATGTAGCAAAAGGACATTGTTTCTAGTAAAGTCAAATAACAGGTACTGCTGGCAATTCATAATTTATAAATGGTACTGTCTGTTTCCATGTTATCTTTTCATCTGTGGTTTGCAGGGAGTTTTGAAAGCTTTAATTAAGACTTCCTGGGCCATTATGGGGTGCTAAGGAAATTGTTAAAGCCCAGAGAAGTTATCCCCCACAAATGTTTACATTGATTAAGCTGGGAAACCTCCATTTTGGAGTGTCCCTTTTCAGATTCTTGATGACCTTCAGAACTGCAGGACTTACACCATCCACTGGACACACACACTTCTGCAGAAAGCAAAACTATTCAGCCCCTTGGAATGATTAGGAAAAAGAGTCTCAGGATGAACAGCCAAAATACCACTGACCCGTGATATATGGACAGTCTTCCAAAAAAAAAAAACAAAAGGCATCCAAGCCACACAAAAGGTAAGTGGCAAAACCATACCCAGAATCTATAAATTTTAATATTTAGAATTAAGATGCTTCCTAAAAGAAGGCTATGTCTACCCATTTGGTTTAACGCTAGTATCACACATTTTCCGTTTTCTCAAAGCAATCGTGAGACATTGCCTTTAATTTATTATGAAATAACGCATGACTACGTTCAGAATTAGGAGGAGATTGAACCTACTCCTCTCATAATAGGCTATATCTTTAATAAGATGGGACTTTCTTAGAATGTAAACATTTTTATCTTTTTTTTTAAAGCCTCCAAATGACAGAAGCCTATTGAAATTAAGAGGTCTCTGAACCTACCACTCTCATAACAGGTTGTCTCCTCAGTAAAAATAATAGCAATTCTTAGCACAGTAGTTGTTTCATAACTTTTGTCACCAACGCTTTCCAATACCAGCTGCGGTCAGCTGAGAGGTTTCCTTTCTTATTCAGGTTTGGATTACCTTCTTGTTGTGCTGCTTCTGACAGTAAAACATTTATCCACCCTTTTACAGTCAGAAAGTATGAACTGTTTGAATCTGCTCTTTAATTTCCTGCAGAGACGATAATTCAAAATACAACAGCCCTCTCATTTACCTTACCTTATAACAGCTAGACTCTCACAGCTTTACTCGCCTTTTTAGCTCTCCCATCAAAGTGAATTACACTGTGAAAACTGTGCTAATACCTTATGGTAAGTTTTCCGGTAAGTACAAAGCGTACAATTTTCATACCTTATACTAACTTACTGCCTAAAGGGTGATTTATGTAAGTATGCAGCTCTTTAGGTGCAATAGCCCAGCTCTGGTCCAGCATGGTCTTTCGGTCTTTGTAGTGCACCTTAATGGATCATCATTGACATAACTGAAATCATTCTGCAATAATAATACACGTAAAATACATCTAATAAGTTAGTACTTAAATACTAGATATCCTTAAGATTAAAGATATTTTTGTTCCTCCTTCTAGCAACATCATGTTAGTTGTGAAGAGGAATGCACTGTCTCAGACATTTAAGAGATGGCTTTGCAATGAGTATTTGAGACAGTCCGATATATTCTTCCTAAAAAATGAGCAGACTGAGTTGCTCCTCATGTTCTGTATTTTCTTCTCTTTAACGGCTGCCTCTGCCTGCCTACCTATCAGTTACCCAGCTGATATGGGTTGTATCTCACTATGCATGTCTCACTATTTCTTTTAATTCAGCTTAATAATGAGAAACAGCTCTGCCTCTAAATAACCAAGGATTATTCATCTTGTAGTACACCGTTGTGCTTCTGTTAATAACTATACTTGCATAAGCTACAGCTCATTAAATTTGCCATGGTATTTATACCATCCACTAATTTAACTAAACGCAGTATTGCAAACGTAGTGGCTCAACGTGTCAGTTTGTAAAATAGTTGTCAGCAATCATTCCAAAGTAGCCATGTCCATAAAAAAGGACCAGTTTGTACCGGTCTTATGTGGTCTTCCATAGGTTGTGCGTAAGTCTCAGCACAGATTGCAGCTGATTGAGTACATCCTGTGTACCTCTCTCCTGCCATCGCAAATAGCCTGCTTCAGTAGGAGTGGAAAGCTGATGCCATCCCCTGAGGAGCCACCACTCGCGCTGAAATCCTTTTTATCGTATCCTAGCACCAACTCAGCCATCCAGCTCGAATCAGTGAAAACAAGTTTCTTTGTGATCGTTTGCTTGAACGCTAATAGGACATTGTAATGTGGGGCCATGCTCTCTGACAATAGCAAAAGTCCAAAAATCTTTCCACATTAGGCCCAGAGGCCACTGTGCAATTGAGGTTCACAATAACTGACAAATGCCTAAACCAATCATAGCACCTACTGCTATGACAAAGATAATTACTGCCTTTCCGTTGGTAAAGGGTCTACCCTGCTCTGTATCACATTTAAAATAATCTAATTCTAACTCATTTTTCCCCCTCCAAATTGTTTCCAGCTGTATGATTCCTCTCTTTCCCCCATATTGTTTTCATTGGATCTAACGCAAGTCCGTAAAGATAGATTTTCTCATAATGAATACACAGATGTTAAAATAATAAACTTAGAGTCAACCTGATATATTAATATTATTAAGCATAAATAAATATACAACTCACAATGTAAATCGATTGAAAATAGGAAAATGAGAATATAAAGTAGCCAAGAGAAAGAAATGGCAGGAGGAAGGACAGGCAAATAGGGAGAAGTGTACTTACTTTAGGCAAACTATCTGGATTCATTTATGATTCTCTTCATTGATTTGCTGATAGCATTATAACACAAGTATGGCTGTAAAGCATTCCTAAGAATGCCGCCTGTCTTCATGTATTGGAAGTTTTCTGCTTGTACTGAAAGTCAAGCCTTCCGAGTTGGCCAACTCATACCGTACTAGACGCTACTATGCTAGATTAATATATCTGCCTGGATGTGAATTTCCATTTTTGGAGAACAATGGTTCTCTCTACTCCTCCCATTTTTGGTAGGAAGTTTTTATGAACATTTAGCATCTCGGTTAAACCACCATCATAGCCCAGAATAAAAATGACTAGATTCATATGTGAATCTGAATCCAAATTTAATTAAACCTATATATGGCCTGAACCAAGAATAATTTACTGACTGACACCCCCACGGCATGTGTGATAAAATGCCAGCCATTTCTCCATCATGCCATCACTTACATATCGTTCAAGAGAATATTCTCTTTAGGCCTGCAGCTAGAACATGGGGATCCAATGTGGGTTTAGCTATCTGTTTCCAGTGTAAATATACGAATTACCACTTTATTTATGAATATCATTCCCTCAGAAGTTGTTCCCCTCCCTTCCTTAATCTTCCATTTGAAATTATGCTTATCTTCTTAGCTGTCTTGTGCTTTTATGTGCATGAGTGAATGTGTGTGTATAAACATGATATTCTACTTTATTTTCTGACAGTGTTTCTCAAAATAGTTTGTAAGGTCGTCTTTAACTGTGAGTTAATAAAATCCATGCACCAATTACAGTAGCCCTTAAAACTGTGGTTTTCTCTCCCATCCCTCCCCTTTTCTCTCTGAAGTGTGGAACAAAATTTGAGCAAATGTATCGTGATGGAAAGATTCTTAAAATATTGCTCTTCTCTTAAACCACTCACTCCAAGTAAGGGTTTACCTCCGTGCAGAAGCATCCTTTCAGGATGTCAGAATCCATAAGAAGGTCAGAGATTTGCAGACCTTCAGCACTCTCTTGTTTTGTGCCCAGTAATTTGTTGATTTTTCCCTGTCAGGTTTCTATCTCCATGATTTGAGTTATTTTTCCCTA